TTCCTATCATTCCGTTTTATCGGTGCAATAAATTAAGTCATTAAGAAGTATAAAACCAGTACTTCACATTACTAACGTCATTAAGACTGTACTTCATAAAATGTCAGTTACCACAATAAAGTAGGGCTAAGTACATTCCGTTTTGGTAACATGATATCGGGTGCAACGTAGATCATCAACAATCAAGCAAGCTTGTGGCAACTACTTTTTCCAGGCCTACTTGAAATACGGCACTTGATTGGGCCACCAAAGTTTTTCCCTGTGTCTTGATTGGTTGTTTTGAGACACGTGCCATCACAGCTGTAATAGTTGTGAAAGCTTGAAAAATACTAGTCACGCCGTTAAAATACTACCCTCTGATTGGCTGATATGTGTCAAGTGGGCAAAATACCGAGCTCTGATTGGCTTATCCTGGTCAGGTGGTACAAATGTTTATTAATGTTTCGACAACAAGCAAAGTTGAGGAATATTCATAGGGGTTTGAGGAAACACCCAACTCATACACTAAAATGCATGAAAAATCGCATATTTACATCATAGTGACCTATTATTGTCAAACAAAAATACCATCTAATTAACTTGGTTACTTAACATAACTCCATATAGTTGTGTGCATCTGGACTCTTTGTTATATTCAGTTAATTTAGCATATTGAGTCAGGGAGAGGGATAGCGGAGATTGTGTGCGATTATTTAATAAAAATTGACGGGCATAACTTTAGTTGTTATTGAAAGAAGCACTATCTTCGTTATGAGGAGGCGAACGTTTCTTGAAAAAATTATGAATATCCAACAAGTCTATACTTAATAATACTGGGAACGCTAGGGTAAAACATATATATACTAGATTCGGAGAGAAGTAAAGGAAGAGAACATTCAAAGATTTTCAAGGTAATAATTCTACGGGTCGGTTAATTGTCATGATGATAAGTTAAAGGTGACCCCTCTGTTAGAACCTGTCCAGTGTCCACCACTAACCGTTACAAAGTATAACTAATTCTAGGGGTTGGCGACAAACAATATTAATAACATGGTGTGGGCAATACAACTGTTATATTTTATATATGATCTTCGAACGAGCATTGGAAATTCCATTCATTCCATGTTCCTTACATAACTCTGGATAGTTCCCTAAAAATTCTATAACACCAGTAAGCACTGTCAAGTAACCATGGTAACCATGGTAACCATAGTTTATACCACTGAAACCCTTGCAACACACGTCAATTTTCACCCAACTCTTCAATAAAGGTCGTCAATTCTCACACAAACTAGAGAGCTGACACTTGTTGCCCCAATTGAAGGGGTCACGTGTCACAATTGAAGGGGTCACGTGTCACAAAACTATCACCACCTACTTAAACACCACACCAGTGGTTACCATGGTTACCATGGTTACCATGGTAACCGTCTATATTCTGGTATTGCCACAGCTTTATATTGTTTTTATCACATTAGAGCTGGGTTTATTATTCCATGTAGCAGTCGTCTATTAGTCCAGTCAGACATTTTGAATATCGCTAATTTTGAATCTCGCTAATTTTCCAACCATAAAGCTCGCCCTATGTTATATGGGACTACTTGAGACTTCTCAGAAAAACTGTGACAAGTGACAGAATTGAGTGAAGTAGGGGTAACCCCGCTGAGGAACTAGGGGTTACCATGGTCACGTGACATATCCACGGTTACCATGGTGACTGACCTACTCTCCACACACGTGAAACATCTCACAAGAGCGTGTCGTTATTTTCACAGTGTTGTCACTCTGTCAAACAGTGTGTATGTTAGAAGTGTCAAGATATGTTTCTGTGGTCGAGAAGATGGGGGTAGTGCTCAGCACGTGCAGTGAAGTTTAGTGGAAGTACGTCACACGTGCATGGTTTGATATAAAAAGAGTTTCGCACGTGCACAGTGAAGTCGCGATGACTTGTTTTGCACGTTGGCTGAAGATAAGAATGTACTTGAGTTGCTGCCACAGCTAAAACCACAATGAATCAACTTGTATCCATCCGAGAATAACCACAACTGTGAACTCGGAGGGATCTTAAAATACTAAGTACTCCCGCTCAGTTCGAATGTCAAGCACATAACCACTATATTCTATTACGACGGTTAAAATACGGTTGAAAACAGCCATCTTTTGCTCGGTCATTCATTTAAGTGAGAAATTATCACCACAGAGCAAACAAACACGGGGGTGATTTTAGCCAAGTGAAAAATCAAAAAAACCACGCGAGGTTATGTTGAAGTGAAGTGTGGTTGTGGGGGGATGGCTGAGGGAGAACTTTGGGGAGATTCGGCAGACTTCAAAGAATGAAGGCTTGTGAGAGAGAGTGCGTGAGGGGGCATTATGTTAGAGAAGCAGTATTGTAAAGAAATCAGGGCTTTTCTTTTGAGAGAATATAGCTTATTAAGGGGCATTTTATGGATGTATAACCGGAAGATCTCATGTTGGATATGGATGGAAGACTTACTCGATTCAACTTTAGAAATCTACTTTTAGATATTAACTCTTAAACGCAAACTATGTCCTTGAAAAGTGAATTTTAAAGTACCAATTACTTTATTTTGTGCCAATAACATTTCATATTTATATCAACGGAGTTATTTTCTTTACAAACAGTTTAAAGCTTTGAGCATGACTAAGTTAATTATAAATGCTTTTTTATCTATAATTTGATTATTAACAAATAGTTTAGTAACTTTGTAGCGTGACTGTGTTTGATAATAAATGTTTTACATATTTGCACTTTTCTTATATTTACAACTATTTTACTAAGTTTGGGGCGCTTGTTCTGTCCGACCCTGGCAGACAAACTTGTCATTTAATTAACATTAATCTGTTCCGTGAGAACTTAACGGCGTGCTCACCCTATTGGTCGGATACCCTCAAGTGGTACACTTTTCTATGATATGATTGGTAGTTGCGAGGAGGTTGCTAGGCAACAAGTAGAGGTGAGCACCTGTGTTAATTTAGGGGGCGTGAGGCTCAGTCCTATCTGTCCCTCTCTCGTTAATTCATACAGTATAATTGGCAATTTTCATAGCACGTTAAACATTTAGCAGTATAAGAGTGGGACTCTGACATCTGTCAAGCTAAAGACCTGTACCACGTGCGTTGCTGGGTAACCAGTGGAAGAGGAGAATGGATGTCACGTGCTAGGTGAGAGCCGGTGAGGGACGAGCACTTCGGTTGCACATGCTTCAGATCCAGGACTAGTGTTTTCTCATTGAGGGAGAAAATAGTAGCAAATTATATTTATTATCACGCACTATAATCATACCAGAAGAAGTGCGGGCAATTCCAGACTCAGAGAGAGAGAGAGAGAGAGAGCCAGATAGTAGGAGGAGGATGAGGAGGAGGAGATGAGTTTATATAACACCACGCTACAAGCTCCGGGATAAGGAATATAGTGCATTAACATGAAGTTAAACCCAACAAAGGGTCTGGAATGAGCAGATCTCGTGTGGCCGGGTGAGATGGTGACCCTGATTTTCAGCCGATGTTAAGAAATTAGGGGCACGTGGGGAGAAGGGCCGCTTCCCGTTAAACACCCCGGACTTGCCCCTGGTGCTGTTGACACACGGCGCGTGCCGCCTCCTTCTCGCCCATTGGTCCGTTCCTGTCACGTGGTGTGAGGGCTGGGTTCTGTTTGGGCAGCTGTCAGAGGAGGGGAGTTTAACTTTGCAACATTTTCACATACAGCCGTTCTACGGGTTCGTGTGATTTTAAAACAAACCACTGAACTAGTGTCACAGACTGAGGTTGTTGCCAGGCAACACCGCACAACCAATCAGCATCCAGGAGTATCACCAAACAACCAATCAGCATCCAGGAGCATCACCAAACAACCAATGGGTGAGGACCGGAGTCGGATCTCACACAACTGAGAAGCAGGGAACGTGAGTTAAGATTGTTAAACCAGTATCCGACCCTTATCTGCACACCTCGCTACCAACTCTCAGAAGATAGACTTGACACAGCACACTCTCTCTTGGAGTGGCAAGTCACATCACCACTTCTTCAGCCTGTGTGTCCCTTGTGTAGGTTGGAAAATAATGAGCAGTATTGATTGCGGGGTGGGTGGAGGGCTACAGGATGTGCTGTAGTGTATTTGGGGGTACTATTTGGGGGTACTATTTGGGGGTACTATTTAACTACAAGGAGGGATATAACAACAGTCTCACACTCTTATATCTCGTCATGCACATGGCACAAACTTGTGCTCCTCCTCTTTTACCCTCTCTGTTGCCTAGCAACCTAATTAGCGTGAGAGGTCCATTCACACGTTCTTGACCCGATGATAGATGGGAAAATTAATTTTATTGCAAAGGGTGGGGCAGCTAGTGTTGCAGCTCATCTTACTTTTGCAGGGCCCAGTGTTGAGACAACTCCATTATTCCTGTTAAATACCATGTCATGCTCCTTAATACAAACCTTTTTCATTTTCAGGGAATTGGGAAAATTGTTGCAATAGCTCTCATGGGAAAGATAAACTTACGGCCGATGTTGCTGAAGTGAACAAAAATACCTTGTTAAACATGAACCGGTTCTGTTCAAGACATATGTTAATAAAAGTGGCAGTATTTGTTGCAGTTATCTTAGTGGCATTTCACCAGAATAAAAAGTAGGCGAGTTTAATGGGAGTAATGTCACGGTGACTACATAGTAACGTGATTTTAAGTGATTTTAACTGTTATTTAATACCATCACGAGTAACCCTCAAACAAACAGCCGAAGAAACCATCAAACACGCGGTGAATAATTGGCCGACGTTTTCTCAAATATTTTCCGCAGAATTCCGCGGTTTCGACGAATTGTTGATCATATCAAAGTCTGCTCGCATAATCACGACAAAAAGTTTATCAAAACTATCTCCGATCGAGAGAAAATTCCGTAAGCGGAATCGAAGTCAACGAATGAGTAAATCTAGAAAACGAACTTAAAAGAACGATTGGAGTAATATCGTAGATATTTAATGAACAGTTCACAAAACGTACCTTCAGCCTCTACACCAGAGTCACTTTGTCCAGATTGTCCGTTATTCATGAGTGCTTTTAGCTTCTTTATCACTAGCAGCCGTTTACCCATCTTCTGAACACCCATTTCTTTCAGTTCTTCGACACTGAAACAAGATAACAGTTATGGTAACTGTCATGGTAACTGTCATGGTAACTTTCATGGTAACAGTCATGGTAATAGCCATGGTAACAGTCATGGTAACTGTCATGGTAACAGTCATGGTAATAGTCATGGTAATAGTCATGGTAATAGTCAAGGTAACAGTTATGGTAACTGTCATGATAAGTGATAACAGTCATGGTAACACGATAAGCGCCATGGTAACACGAAGCTCCAATATTTACGTGTATCTCCAAAAGAGAGCACTCTGTTTTAACATTACAACACTCAAGGTGCCCGGGAGCCCTCAATCTCATGAGTACACAAAATCAGATATATCTCCACAGAGTTGTCATGGTAACCGGTACCATGTAGAGCTAACGTGCACATAAATTTCCCAGGATTCTTAAAAACGTACCCTATATAGTATACACCGTGATTTAAAGATGATCACAGTTATACCAGGATATTGTAAGAAGTTATCTAAACGTCCTGCAGTCGAGTTTAAATCCCCTAACAGTTGCTGAACTGAGGTACCAGGAAGGAAGCCGTACTGGAGTGAAAAGGGAAATTCTATTCACTCCATGACCAGCTGTGATATATTATCCAAAGCCCAAAATTTATTACAACGCGGTAAATTCTTGGTTAAATATCGCAATTATAAAACAATGCCCCGTTCTGTCAAAAAGTTCACCAAAGTTATGTAAAAAACTTGAATTCAAAAGATACTTAATGTATCGAGTGCGAATCTTTAATTTGCATAATGGAGACCAAAATACGGCGAATTAAGGGCTAAGAAATCCACGCAACAAAATGCATTGTTGCGTGAATAAAGTGTTTTCTGCTTCAATTAACTCAAACCACGCGGCATTATCTGGATAATCTTGCTAACACTTCATCTCATCGGGGTGGACACAGAAAACAAAAGTGTTTCACGAATCAATTATGCTTTGAAGCTACCGACATTATACACAAGTATATGATTCTATGCTTATCCGAACATATTATCATACTTGTGTACGTGCAGTCGTTTAAATCATAAATTATTACGATTATCATTTGATTATGAGCGGGATTATTCGTTCTGAATAAGTAAGAAAGAATAATGGAAAGTTATTTACTCAGACTGAGCATTCTTTGAAACAAAAATGTTAAATGAATTTCACAAATTGAGACAGCTTGTCTGTCTATTTAAGATACAATATGAAACAGTTAAACTAGCAAAGAGTCAACTCAAACATCACAAGTGATTGATCAAAAGACAGCGATGAAACTCAGCCACCACAATGAAACCAAGCACACTAAAAGCAGCAATATTTAGCGAGGAAACAAGAGTACTTTATCCAAACCTTATTTCTGACAAGCACTCTCCATTTATCTCTTCTCGCTCGAACAGTTCTGCAACATCACTTCCCAAAGCATCGTAAGCCCAGGATTTAACGTCAGAAGTTGACCAGCATTCAGGTCCCCTTTCCATGATCATCATCAACTTTATAGTCCACAAGTTTACAAACTACTACAACCTAATCAATCACGACCAAATCGGCAACGAAAGGGCAATGAATGCTTTATCTGGCAACACGTGCCCGTAACGCGCGCGCGTGAGAAGTACGGTCACGTGACCCCGAGTAAATAGCCAATGAGAGCGCGCGCAGCGGTCGCGTGACTTGACAGCGACTCAGCCAGCTGTGGCAGGCCGGGGACTGTATGCTGCATAGTTTAAAATGCACCACTCTCTCTCTCTATCTCGCTCTCTCTCTCTCTCTCTCTCTCTCTCTCTCGCTATCCTTTCTCGCTCGTGGGAACTTAATTGATTAAAGAGCTTGTGTCTGAGCGGATAGAAACTTTCCAGTAAATACGATCCATGATCGAACTGTATCAGGGTATTTTAATTTAGCTGCCGATAACTAGAGCTTGGTGCTGGAGAGAGTCAAATATAATGTGAGATCAGTGGGATTGTGTCGGGAGTGCGAGAGATCGTGCAACATTATATTCAGAAGGGTTATCATTAATTTTCCTGCACTATTCTGCAATCGTTTCATCAGTGTCACTCACCTCAACTACCCTCAGAGAGGTTGAGATCTATTGATGTATTACCATATTAACGGTAAACTGCTTCTAATACCAGTGTCTAGTCAATTGTAATGGAATTCTGACTCGAGGTTATATTATCAGTGGGTCAGTGGTTAAGTGGATCCTGCCAGTTACTATGATAACTGAGCAGTAAAACGGTTGTAAACTACGCTGTATCTGAAGATTTTGATAAATATCTTATGATTATTATCATATCTTATGATTATGCTGTGGGAGGGGATAAGTCAAAGTTTAACAAAACTATTGGCTCCTGTCTTTAGATTCCTTCGTAATTCTGAACCCTGATTTGAAGTATGACCGAGTAACCATGCCCGTCAATTAACTCAAAATACCCCACACCTAATCCTACCAATTGTCCTCGACTTAACTACTACCTACTTCCTTCACCGGAAAGCGCCTCAACTTGCCGGGCTATAGAAATCAAAATAATCTTCACTTTTACGGCCTCCACGCTCTTATTGGGGTGCAACCAGTTTTTAGCAGTTTTAAGAATCACTAAATAGTAGCAAAGTACGATATTTACAACTAATTTCTACCGAGGTCTGAAGAAACAGACCATACGGTAGACAAGTTGGAGTTACATGTCTACCAGTGAGCAGTGATCGAGGAACGGAGAAATAAGTTACAAAATATGAGCTCTATACTGATATACTCTATATAAGAGCTCATGATCTTAAATTGCTGTACATCAGTCATCAGCTGCAATGAAAGTTGAAACATGGGGGAGTTGAGAACCCTGGTCATCAATGTGTCTGTGAGACTGCATTCAAGTTCCCATGCATGGTGGCAATATATCTGTGAGACTGCATTCCAGTCCCCAATATGTCTGCATGAGACTGTACCCCATTCTTCAAGTTCAATATGTCTGTGTGACTGCACCTCGGCCCCCAATGTCAATATGTCTGTGTGACTGCACCTCGGCCCCCAATGTCAATATGTCTGTGTGACTGCACCTCGGCCCCCAATGTGTCTGTGTGACTTCACAGTACCGCTCCCACTAAATCGCTCGCCCAAATTTTTTTAAATTCTTGTAAAAATGCCCTGAGGGTGTGAAAGTAATCTTATTCGGTGTATTTTTGGACGCTGTAAAATTACGACTCCATAACGCTGATTCCGAATCACCCCCATGACGTAAGTTAAAAATGCTTCCCTAGAAGTTATGGACAAAAACTATTTTGGTCAGTGGTCACGTGACACTAGTAAAACACGGATTCGATTATTTATGGCTCGGGTTAGGGTTAGACTTAGGGTTAGGGTTAGGCTTATGCATAGCTTCGGGGTTATGGGTAGGATTAAGGTTGGGATTAGAGTTGATGTAAAACCGTTTTGTTCGGCTGCAAAACCGTAAAAACCAAATTCGTGATAATTTTTGAGCGAATTATAGTAAGAGGCAAAAGCCTCACAGTACACCCTGTCCCCAATGTATCTGTGATACTCTACCCTGTCCCCAATGTATCTGTGAAACTCTACTCTGTCCCCAATGTATCTGTGAAACTCTACCCTCTCCCCAATGTATCTGTGAAACTCTACCCTGTCCCCAATGTATCTGTGAAACTCTACCCTGTCCCCAATGTATCTGTGAAACCCTACCCTGTCCCCAATGTATCTGTGAAACTCTACCCTGTCCCCAATGTATATGCGAAACTCTACCCTGTCCCCAATGTATCTGTGAAATTCTACCCTGTCCCCAATGTATCTGTGAAACTCTGCCCTGTCCCCAATGTATCTGTGAAACTCTACCCTGTCCCCAATGTATCTGTGAAATTCTACCCTGTCCCCAATGTATCTGTGAAACTTTACCCTGTCCCTAATGTATCTGTGAAATTCTACCCTGTCCCCAATGTATCTGTGAAACTCTACCCTGTCCCCAATGTATCTGTGAAACTCTACCCTTTCCCCAATGTATCTGTGATACTCTACCCTGTCCCCAATGTATCTGTGATACTCTACCCTGTCCCCAATGTATCTGTGAAATTCTACCCTGTCCCCAATGTATCTGTCAAACTCTGCCCTGTCCCCAATGTATTTGTGGAACCCTACCCTGTCCCCAATGTATCTGTGAAACTCTACCCTGTCCCCAATGTATCTGTGAAACTCTACCCTGTCCCCAATGTATTTGTAAAACTTTACCCTGTCCCCAATGTATTTTCGAAATTCTACTCTGTCCCAATTTCTCAATGTATTTGTCAAACTCTGCCCTGTCCCCAATGTATCTGTGAAACTCTATTGTACAGACTACATGACAGAGGCATGTTATAACTAGTTTTAACCCTACTTCTTGTGAGGTGAATCAGTATCTATAGTTCTACAGCTAGCCAACATGTTAACTATAAGTGAGTGGGAACTGGATTTAATTTTAACGCGGCCGATGTTACTGGGCCGCGCTCAGCCTGTCATTCCGCCTAATCTCTATTCATGTTAATGAACAGGATAGCCTGAGCAATATAAACGACATACTCCATTCAAAGTTAATATTATTTCGGGGAGCAGGACTATTGAGCGGAGGACTGTTGAGCGTAGGACTGTAGGTCGGTGAAGGTCGGAAGTAGGACTGTAGAGCGGTGTCAAATCGCCAGGGTAGGACTCTAGAGCGGCCGCCCACAACATGAGGACTTTAGAGCGGTACGATCCTAGAATGAGGACTGTAGAGCGGTGGACTGTTGAGCGGTGGACTGTAGGCCGGTGAAGAGGCCCCTTCCAACCATTGCCACTGCGAATTTAACCTAAAACCTGCCCAGTTAATAGCGAAGACTGCGAAATTACCACTCCTGCCTAGTAATCTAATTTACCCTGTCCAGATCAGCAGTATATTACACTAAATCCGCAGGTTTTCTCTTAATTTTTTATGTCAAAACCTGCCTAATTAACTAGTGATCCTGCATCAACAGCGCAGGTATTTGTTATTTGGCAGGTTTTCTATTAACTTGGCAGGATTTGCTATAAAATTATCAATCCTTTCCGGATGGATTACGGCAGTGATAAAGTTAAATCGGCAGGTTTTCCATTAACTTGGCAGGATTTTTTATAAAATTATCAATCCTTGCCGGATAGATTACGGCAGTGATAAAGTTAAATCGGCAGGTTTTCCATTAACTTTGCAGGATTTGTTATAAAATTATCAATCCATGCCAAATAGATTATAATACTATAATCTTATTATCTTATTATGGCAGCGTTAAATTTATAAATTGGCAGGTTTCTTTTATCTTTCTTTTAAGTTCTTAAGTTATTTGGAATTTTGCTTATTTGGCACCAAAACTAAAAGTCAATAAAACCGAGTTGATTAGCGCAGTCAAGAAATTGGCCGGAGTTGATAAAAAGCTGACAACCATGGCACTAAATCTCCATATACTTATATAGTACGGTACCGCAACAATTGACCCCCTCCCCCCCCCCCCCCCCCCCCCCCCCCCCTGATGCAATCTACCCCCGACAATTGACCCCCCATGTAATTACACTGGGGTCAATTCAGGGTTAGGGTAAGGGTTAGGGTTAGGGTCAGGGTTAGGGTCAGGGTTAGGGTCAGGGTTAGGGTCAGGGTTAGGGTCAGGGTTAGGGTCAGGGTCAGGGTTAGGGTCAGGGTCAGGGTCAGGGTTAGGGTTAGGGTTAGGGTTAGGGTTAGGGTTAGGGTCAGGGTCAGGGTCAGGGTTAGGGTCAGGGTTAGGGTTACTGGGTAACACGACTCCTGTCAGCGACATCTGTCCGACACCTTAAATTAAGTTACACTAGTAATGAAATATTTAAAATAAGTAAATGAAAATGTCCATTAACTCCATGACTCTTTAATAAAGTAAAAGTTGACCATAATCAATCACGAGTTACAATGTATAACTTAGCTTCGTTGAGTGTTCAATCTTCTAATTTCAACCGCTATAGAGTCCTCGTGTTATAGGAGGGTACCGCTCTAGAGTCCTCATGTTATAGGAGGGTACCGCTCTAGAGTCCTCATGTTATGGGATCTATAAGGGAGGGCCGCTCTACAGTCCTACTTCCGACCTTCATCGGCCTACAGTCCACCGCTCAACAGTCCACCGCTCTACAGTCCTCATTCTAGGATCGTACCGCTCTAAAGTCCTCATGTTGTGGGCGGCCGCTCTAGAGTCCTACCCTGGCGATTTGACACCGCTCTACAGTCCTACTTCCGACCTTCACCGACCTACAGTCCTACGCTCAACAGTCCTCCGCTCAATAGTCCTACAGCCATTATTTCGTTTTGGTGGGATGA